CATAATCCACATATCATACAATTGAGCAATTGGAGATGTATAACCAGCACCACATCTATCTTATAGCCCACCCCACCCCCACCATGGTTATATCGCCTTTAAACTGAGTTGTAAAATCACTATCAGTTCTAGTGCTCCCTCCCCACAACCAGGCACCATCTGATTTCTTCACCACCCTTTACTGTAGCACCCATATCGTCAGTGATCACTTCATTAGGGTTTAAGTATTGAGCAGGGCCACATTGTAAGAACTAATTATTATTAGATTAGGAGTTAGAATGAAGTGCAAGTTCAAAATCCATTTGTATATCTGAAGTTTACATATGATCTTGGTTCACTTTTAAGGCAGCAGCAGCACCGTGAGACATTTGGCCTTTCTAATTAGAGTATCATGAATCTAGCCAATGATAATAGAACTTAAAGCACGGTGGCGAAAATGAAAATATACATTTATAGGAAAGCTTTTTAGACTAAAATATATGGTCACTCACCCGGGTTAAAAACGTAAGTCACTGAACATTGTTTAAGAAAGCAATAAGGGTTAAACACAATACAAAAAACACAGTAGCCTTCATTCACTAAGACAACACTGTCAGCAGGACTAAGACCTATCACACAAAGTATGAAAACAGCAAGTAAATGGTAGCCTTTCAGTGTGTGTGAAAACCTTCCATTAGTAGTCTCACATTATTTGTCTCTTAGTGATGACTTCCTTCCCTCAGCACAATGTTCTCCAGGTTTATCCATGCCCGGAGGAGCTTCACAGATTCATTGGGAGTATTCTGTTGTGTGCACGCGTGTACCTTAGTTTCTCTGTTCTTTTGATGGGTGCTCAGGTGCTTTCTGTCATTTGGCTCTTGTAGGTAACGCTGCCGTGAACATGGCGGTGCATATACCTCTAGCTCATGGCTCGGTTCTCTAGGATATACGAGGGGACTTTAAAACGTTGCCAGGCAGATTTCATCTCATCCTGTTTTCCCACAAAGCTTTTGAAGCCCTCTCACAGATGAGTGGGATTGCTACGTCATTTGGTGTTTCTAACTTTTTAAGGATGCATCACAGTTTTCTACAGTTGTACTAGTTTACAGCCCCCGCCACACACACACACACATATATGAATAAATGCTGGGATGAGCTAATATCTTGCTGTTTTGATTTGCATTTCTCAATGAACTGATAGACAAAAGCATTTCTTCACCTGTTTGTTGTCCACCTGAATGTCCTCCGTATCTCAGTGTCTGTTCCTGTCTTTTGCCCATTTTTAATTGAAATCCTTTCGTTGATGAGGTAGTGACGTTTTCCATAGATTTTAGAAATGAATCCCTTGTCCTGTTCTATTTGTCACTGCCAATGCCCCCCACCCCCACCCCATGTATGGGTTATCTTTTCACTCTGTGGTGAGATCTTTGCCACATGTAAGTTTGTGCCTATTCTTCCCACGATGGTCTTTATAGTTTCAGGTTATACACTTACAGAGACCATTTTTAAGAAATGACAAAAGAAGACTAACTTCTCTTGCAAAGGAGAGTCATTTTCAGCCCGTAGGTGCTGGACTTCTCTCCTAGGACGGCATCTAGGTCGGAGAGAGAAGGAACCTTGTAGGGGACCCTGAAGCCCTAACGGGACTCTGGGGGGTTTCCTCACAGCTGATCAGCGGGGAGTACATCGGTGCCCTGGCCATGAGTGAGCCCAATGCAGGCTCCGACGTCGTCTCCATGAAGCTAAGAGCGGAGAAGAAAGGTGAGGCCACTCCTGGGGAGCTAGCATGGCAGTCTGTTTCCGTAAGGGTCACAGCCTCGGGGTGGGGTGGGTGGGGGGTTCTGGGGAACCCCAAGAGGTGGAGTCGGACTCCGAGGCAATGGGAGGGGGCAGCAGTTGGGAGTGGCCTCCGCTGGCTGCCCCCCGGGCAGCGCACAGCCTCAGGACAGTGGGCCGAGTGCCAGCTTGAGCCAACCGCCAACTGCCCGCCCGCCCGCCTGCAGGGGATCATTACATCTTGAATGGCAACAAGTTCTGGATCACCAATGGGCCCGACGCAGACGTCCTGATCGTGTACGCCAAGACCGATCCAGCCGCCGTGCCAGCTTCCCGCGGCATCACCGCCTTCATCGTGGAGAAGGTGAGTTGCTGTGTGTGCGAGCGTGTGTGTGGACCTGTGCCCAAGTCCCCAGAGTGTCCCGCCAGGGTTCCTGGGGGGTGGGGGTGGGGTCCCAAAGGCAGGGTCTAAGGACTCCACAGAAGACAGGAGAGGCGGGCACCCCAGAGGCAGGTAAGAGGCCTGAAACGGGCAGGCTGACTGAGTAAAGGCTGCACCTTCGGACACGAGGGACTGAGAACAGGGATGGGTACTAAGTGTTGTGGGTTTAGGCTGGGTTTTCAGATCTCGGGCTGGCTGAGGCCCGTTTTCTGGGTGAAAGAAGAAATCTGAAAGGGAGACAGGACATAATAGTGAGGGGGGGTGGCAGGTGTTGAGGCAGGTGAGGGAGGTAGGAGGCCGGGAGTCTGGCTTCGGCAGAGTTGAACGAATGTCGTGAAGTCTGGTGGGACTGGGATTGGCCTGGGCTGTTGTGGCTAGAGGTTCTGGAAGCGGAGTCCAGGGAAGGCCGGCCAAGGGCGTAGGCACTGATGCACCATGCAGGTGTGGGGGCCCGATGGGAAGGTGGACACCTTTGGGGCCTTCTCCTTCCGTGGCCCCTTTGGGAGGGCTCGTCTGTCAGCAGGATCACTTTTTGTCTCCTGTGAAGGGCATGCCTGGCTTCAGCACCTCCCAGAAGCTGGACAAGCTGGGGATGCGGGGCTCTAACACCTGTGAGCTGGTCTTCGAGGACTGCAAGATTCCTGGTGAGTGTGTTTGAGAGTGGGTCTGAGGCCTCCCCGGGCCCCTCGGGCTGACCTCACACCCTTCACTGAGGACAGAGACCCAACACGCCACCCACTGAGGCTTTCTCTGGGCCTCCGCCATGGGCCATGAGATACCCCCCTTGGTCTGAAATCCCCAGAAATATGCCAGAGCTGTAGGGAGTGCTGGGGAGGCTCGGGTGGCGTGTGGATTCTGGGCAGTGTTGTGCCCTCACGTGACTGCTCATAGCTCCCCATGTCCTGGCTGACAGCTTCTGTCACCAGCACCGAATGGCCCGTGTCCTGGACAGACTCACCCTGGGGGAGATTGCCTTGGCTCTGAACAGCCTGAGCCTGGGGGTGAACCCGTGCTTCCTCTGTGGGTACATATATGCAAAGAGCTAAAGTGCCCCCCTCCCCCCTGCTCTGTATGTGCTGACCAGTGCATCCCGGCCACAGGGAGGTCTCTGACCTGAGCCATAGCTCTCGCTATGTAAGTCGACTATTGTGACCCTGCTGGTGCAGTGGTTATGTGCTGGGCTGTGATCCACGTGGTCAGCAGTTTGAAACCATCAGCAGCTCGGAGGGAGAAAGACTGGGCTTTCTACTCTCATAAATAGTTAAAGTCTGGGACACCCCCGGGGTCACCATTGACTCAATGGCAGTGTGTTTGGTTTGGTTTTATGGCTGCCAGAGGTTACAAGATGACATCTCTGGCCATCCTCGTCCAGAGCACCCCAGCTCCCAGGCCACTGGGTTCTTTGAAGTGATGGCAGCAGGCATGTTGGGTCACTCTGAACAGAGGTGATGGCCATGTGGATATGGGGAGCAAATTTCTCAAGCTGGTGGCTGCCAGCAGAGTTGCACTGGCTCATGGGTAATGTGCCCCAACACAGAAACGTCTCCCAGACACTTAGTCTTTCCCTGAACTTCTCTGGGCTGCTGGGTGGGGCAGGCATTGACACCTCTGTGTGTGTGTCCAGGGAATCTAACTTTTCGCCCTGGCTTCTCAAGGGGAGCTCACGGAAGGAGCAGGATGTAAGTGAGTGAGTGTCTCAATTATAGCAGTGGTTCACTGGAGATGTTTAACAAGAAAAAGAAAAAAAAAACTAAGGAGGGGTATGGTGTCTTCCAGACCAAACCAGCTTCATCCGTATCCCCTCCCCACAGTGCAGGAGGGGGAGGGGAAAGATGGAACCACTCAGGGCTGGGGCCGGTCTGGCCAATGGTGTGAGGCTCCCTCCAACAGGCTCCTCGTGGGAAGCTCCGTATCTGACCAGCTTGATCCTCTTCTATCTCCAGAACCTTAGTTGAAGGTCAAGGTGACAGTGTTTTAGTACTTTTGTGTGGGAGCCACATGACCAAGCCTGGGACATTTTATGATGTGGGGTGGGGGTGGACAGCCCTAGTCCCCCTGACCTGCCCTTTCCCTGCAGCGATCAACATCCTGGGCCACCTGAGTAAGGGTGTGTACGTGCTGATGAGCGGGCTGGACCTAGAGCGGCTGGTGCTGTCCGGTGGGCCCATTGGGTGAGTGGGCGCCAGCCCGAGCAGCAGCAGCAGCCTTCCCCTCCCCTCGTGGGGCCAAAGGGAGCCACCACCCGGCCTGGTGCTCCATCCTTCATTCTTCACCCAGAAGAATCTCTCTCTTGGTGTTGGAGCTATGCCCTAGGGAGCAACACTGTGCCGTGCATGGGTCAGCTCTCTGTCCCCCACCCCCACACAGGCCCTGCCACCGCCGCGCCCGGCCTCAAGAGGCAGAGGCATATGACAGGGCAGTTGGGACCCTAGTGGGCATGGAGGACGAGTTTCTTACACTCCGAGTTGTGTTTTCTCCCCGGGCTCCAATTCCTCAGCTGGCTGACACCCCCCCCAGACCTCCCGCGCCAGCCTTCTGCTGTCAGCAGGCAGCCTTCCCATGCCTGTCTCCTCCCACAGGATCATGCAGGCCGTCCTCGACCACACCATCCCCTACCTGCACATGAGGGAAGCCTTTGGCCAGAAGATCGGCCACTTCCAGGTGAGAGGGGTGTTATTGGAGTTGGGGTGCACTCCCGATGGGGCTGAGAGTCTCCCAGCCGGGTGGACGGGGAAGCTCCGTGTCTGACCCCGGTGGGCCGCCACCTGAAACGTGCTTTCTGGCATCAGACTCGTTAAGGACGTTGCTCGGGCACTCTGGGTTAGGACTAATGGCACTCGCAGGCCCTGTAAGGTTGGCGGGGGGGGGACTCAGTGACAACCCTGTCATTGAACTGCTCCCTCACCCAGGGTCCTGAGTGACTGACTTGTTGGGAGTGGGTCGCCAGGCCTCTCTTCTGAGGAGCCTTTGGGTGGGCTTGAGTCCCCAGGGGTCCAGTTAGCGGAAGGGCTGGCGCTGCCCGGGTGAGGCAGAGTTGTGGGGAGCAGTGTCGAAGAAGCGGCAGGAAATGAGGACTGTGATGGGCGGTCCCGCAGGACAGTGCCCTGCAGCGAGAGCTAGGACCACTTCAGAGTCCACCGTGAAACGCAGCCCTCTGGACGCGCCCGCCACCACTCAGCCTATGCAGGTCCATCCTCCCTGCCCGGCTGCCCCACCCCCAGCCACGGCAGCGGAGGGGGCGTTCGCGGTAGCTGGCTGTTGGTGTAATGGGGTGGGGGGGTGTTTAGAGAGGAAAACGGCTGCAGTATATTGACATGATAACACCCCATCCACCTCCCTGTGCCCAGTTGATGCAGGGAAAGATGGCTGACATGTACACCCGGCTCATGGCCTGTCGGCAGTATGTCTACAATGTTGCCAAGGCCTGCGACGAGGGACACTGTACCCCTAAGGTAAGGGCAGACGGCAGGGAGGGAGAGGCTGGCCGCTGCCTAGCCCCGGCGGGGCTGCTGACCTCCAGCCTCCCGCCCTCCCCCCAACCCCCAACCTCCGCCCCAGGACTGCGCGGCTGTGATCCTTTACTCCGCCGAGTGCGCCACGCAGGTCGCCTTGGACGGCATTCAGTGTTTCGGTGAGTGGCCCCAGCCCACCCTGTCCCCGCTGCCTGTGCGCTGATCATGGGAGGCGGCCATAGCTGAGCAAGAGCCTTTAGGCACCTTCTGCCCCGCCCCGCTGAGGAGGAGGACAGGACCCTTCGTCCCCCACCCCCTCCTCAGGTAGTCCTCGGCCCGCCTCTCGCTGTCAGTTGCTGCAGTTTTATCGCTGGCTGGCTGGCTGGCTGGCTGGCTGGCTGGCTGCCCCTGCTTCCTTTGCCCGCTCCCCACCTCTCCTGTTGTCCAATTTTCTCTGCCCGCATCCCGGCTACAGGTGGCAACGGCTACATCAATGACTTCCCCATGGGCCGCTTTCTGCGAGATGCCAAGCTCTACGAGATTGGGGCTGGAACCAGTGAGGTCAGGCGGCTGGTCATTGGCAGGGCCTTCAACGCTGACTTCCACTAGCCCCTGGACCCTCCCCTCCCAGCCCTTCCTCAGCACCTCGAAGCCTTTCTTTGGACATGGAGACCTGGCAGCTCTCCCACCCTGCCCAAGGCGGCTCTGCAGACTGCGGCCCTCTGGTCAACCAGGAAAAGCACGCAGCTGCTCCAAGCGGACTCAGCAGGACGCATAGCTTTCCTGGGAATGGTTGGGATAGGTTTGGGTGACTCTTGCCCCTGCTCGGCCCCTTCTGGGCCTGATGCCACCGCCTGCAGAGCCGGCATCTGGGGCAGGCTGTGCCAGTCTTCTTTTGGCTGGAAGCCAAGCAGAAGGCCCAGGGCCACCGGTCACCAGAAGCCACCTACCCAGTGGGATTGGGATCTAAGTGCCAGCGCGCTGGCGTTGGGCCTAACACTCCCCTCGCACACCCCTGGGCCCTCTTGGTTTGCTTGTGGATATCTGTGATTCCCACTCCGCCCTCCCGGTTTTGACTGATTCTAGCTGAAGATGCCTTTCCCATCCTCTAGTCTCGGGAAAGAAAAATCCACGTGGCCCATTTCCATGTTGCAGAATGCCGTGTCGTCTCTTTTTCCCGAGAGTTCGGGGAGCCTGCTCCCTGCGCCCGTGACAGGGACCCCTTTGCTGGGTTGAAATCTCACCTACTGGCAGGCACTTGGGGAGCAGGGTATCGAAGGACACCTGTGCCCCCCCCCCTCAGGGCAGGGATGGTGCAGGTGCGTCAGCCCACCGGCACTGTGGGGTCCTGGTCACGGTCACGGGGCTGGCTGGCTCAGCTCCAGCAGAGACCGCTGGCAGGGTGGCTCAGTTTGTTAAAGCTGGCCCTGCCATTGTGTGCCAGACACGGTGTGAGCCGGAGTTTGGGGAGAACAGTCGCCTTGCTGCGCCTGCACCTGCGCCCGGCTCAGGGTGTGCGGTGGGAGTGGACACTCGGGAGTGGAGCTCTGAGCGGAGGAGCGCTTCCCCCCAGTTCTTCAGAGATCAAGAGAAACGACTTCGCAGGGTGAGGACAAGCAGGATCCAGGTCCTGCTCACGGTCCTCAAATCAAGGCCAACTCCTAGCAGCCCCACGGACAGGAGAGAGCTGCCCGTGGGTTTCCAGGACTGTCACTCTTTACAGCTTTCTCCCTTGGAGCGGCTGATGGTTTCAAACTTCCGACCTCGAAGCTAAAAGCCCAACGTGTAACCCGCTAAGCCACCAGATCTCACTGTGGCAAAAACAAGGGTGTTCTGAGGCCAGCCCGGAATCCCCCTGCCTGGTAGCCTGGTGGGAGACTGTGAGTTTGGGCCCACCTAAGTTCCGGAGAGGGCACTTGTTTTCTCTGCTCCCAACCCAGCAGCACCTGGTCTTGGCCTGGAGCCAAGAGCTGACCCCAGCTCCTGACCAACACCAGTCCACACCCCACCCAAAGCCGTCCCATCATGTCCCCACAGGCCTCTGTTGTGCTGGAGATGGGGGTGGGAGTGGTGAGAGGGCAGCTGGAAGGGCTGTGACACAGTGGGACTCTCGCCCAGCGGGGGTCGGCTGCGGGGACCTGCAATTTGAGGTGTGTAAGATCATCTCACGGATGCAGTCTGGGAAGCGAGAAACACTGAGACACGAGGGGGCTTCCAGAAGTTCATAGAAAACGATGGAATTAAAAGTAATGGAACTTCCCCCCACAAACACATACATAATGAAAGTACACGCATGAGCCTGCCCCTGGAATGGAAGCCCGGGGAGTACTGCTTTGGTCCTGTGGGGACTTTGCATTGTGAACACTCACTGGGGGAACAGATCCCTACAGGACCAGCCTGGGGCTGCAGCCTATCCTGTCCCACGGTTTCCTGACTGCCCAGTGGGATGGCAGCAGAAGCTAAGGGGACGATGTCTCACCAAGTGGGGGCTGGGCACCACCTTTTCACCATTTGGCCAACGGTTTAGGTACCATGGGGTTCCAGTGCATAGGGACCCTACGTCCAACAGAACAAAGCACCGGCGGGTCCTGCATCTTCACAATGTTCCTATGCTTGAGCCCGTTGCTGCAGCCATTATGTCAACCCATCTTGCCAGGGCCGCTCCCTTTCACTGCCCTCTACCGAGCAGATGTCCTCCCCTGACAACATGCCCAAAGCCCATGAGGTGAACTTTCGCCATCCTGGCCTCTAGGAAGCATTCTGGCTGGACTACTGCAGAGGCAGAATTGTTCTTTTGGCAGTTCTCGGTACTTTTCCATTCTTTGCCAGCACCATAGTTCAAATGCATAGAGTCTTCAGCACAAAGGAAAATGCCGATTCCGGCTCCCAGCTCATCCTCTGTCCTCAAGCCCATTCTGACTGAGCGGCCCTCAGAGGACAGAGCAGGGCCCCACGGGGTCCCCAGGCTGTCAGGCTAAGGGAGCAGTCAGCCTTACCTTCCTTCAGTGCCTGGTGGGTTAACGCAACACCTGACTCCACAGTGCCAGGAGGTCCTTCCCGTCCCACCCTAATGAACGCATCTTGGGGGCAATTTTGTGGCGCTGCAGCCATTTGGAACAGTAAGGGCGGTTCGGTCTGAGGCTCAGTCTGAGACTCGATTCAAAATGCGCAAATCCAATGACACAATTCCTTACCTGTGTACTCAAGTCCTTGGATGCATCACTTCCTCGGTCCTCACGACAACCTGGCGTGGTAGGCAAGGTTGAGCCCTTGTGGATGACTGGTAAGGTGCGCTGTCCTGCGCTGCGCGAACCGGCGGCGTCTGAACCAGCCACACCCCATGCTGGGTAAACCCGCCCGCCATGCCCGGCGGTGAGACCCAGGACACAAGGGACCATCTGTGGGGACTCCCAGTCTATAGGGTCTTCCCGATGTTTCCTTCCACGAGGCCCCGTACAACGCTCCACCCACGCGCCCGGCCCGGCTGGGGAGCGGCTCTCAAGCCGCGCGTGGAGCTCGCCTGACCTCTGCCGGCCGGCGGCGGTGTCGCAGGCGCGCGGGACGCGTGCCTCTCTGGCCTTGTCCACCCACTCCAGACCCGGGACCCCACGCCCCGAGTCAGGACTCGAGAGGTCCAAGGACGTTTTAGTTCGCCAAATGGGGGCACTTAAAAAAAAAAGTCGGCAATCCTCTATCACCAACTTTTTATTCAAGGAAGGTTGCTTTTTTAATATTTTATGTTTGGGGAAAATACATACACAGCAGAGGCCGCTCCGGTCAGCGACAATGGTTACATTGTTCACGTTTTGTCACCATGCACGTTATTTCTGTTTTGGAACCATCACATAGATGCTTTAATTGCTGACCTTTTGTTCTTATGTAATTTTCCAGAAAAGAACAACACGTAAAATTGGTGACAATGTTTGCTTTTTAAACTAAATTTTTATTTAGTTCCAAGGTGCCTTGGGGCCATCACTGAAATTCAAGATGTAACAATAACTCAGGGCCATAGTCCTGGGGACTCTTCCAGTTTCCTTAGGTCCAGTGAATCTGGATTCTTCAACAATTTAGAACTCTGTTCCACATTTTTTGCCCTAAGGACACTGGAAACATTTTTTTGAAGGAAATAAACAGAACAAAAGCCTGTGTAATTTATAAAATTTTGTATGTTACATGTTTTGAGTTTTTTAAGTGACAGTTTCAAAGGATTATATATCACTTTCACTGCCAGAAAGTTGATTTTGACTCAGAATGACCTCAGAGGACAGGGTAGAGCTGCCCCTGTGGGTTTCCGAGACTAAATCTATTGGGGCTCGTACAAGTCTTATCCATCCATTGTGTCAAGTACATTTGGTGCCATCGTTCTCAAAACATTTGCCTTCTACTTGAGCGCTTGGTATCAGCTCCTCATTTTTCCTCTCCCTCCCCACCTCACCAGCCCTTGATGATCTATAAACTATGAATATTTTGTCAAAGAGCCTTGTGCTTCTCCAGTGGAGCAGCTGCTGGTCTCAAACTGCTGACCTTGTGGTTAGCAGCCCAGCCCATCACCACCGGGGCTCCAAATATATGTTCCAAGGCCCACTCCTCCGGTGAGGTCACTGTAGTACCTTGGAGCCATTTCTTTCAGTACTGGACTTTATATCTCCAAATGATAGGCTTACTTGATGATCTTGGTGTAAATGCTTCAAAAGATAGCTGTTGTTTCTAAGTGCATGCATTTGATTTATGAAAAGCTGGAGCTCTGATGGCACTGTGGGGAAGTGACGGGCTGCTAATCACAGAGTTGTCGGTTCAAACCATACTGTTTAGAAACTCTAGGTAGGCTCGCCACAAGTCAGAGTTCACTGGACGACAATAGTTCTTTTGAGTGCTGGCAAGCCCCAGCCCGTGGACCCATGCGTGGAAGCCTAGCATCAGACAGCATGTCTCTGGCCTTCCCTGCCCTTCACCTCAGTGCTTCCCAGCGTCCAGGGGCAGCGGCAAGACAGGGGAGTTCAGAGGTGGGGGCTCTTCCTCTGTGCTCCACCAAGTCCCCCAGCAGGGAACAGTCCCTGAGCTGGCCCTCTCTGGAAACACGTGTGCATGAGCTTCTGCACCAGGCCAGCCTGAGATCCCCTGCATATTTCTTGGACCCAACACCTCCCCGAAACACACCTCTAAGATCTAAGGCTTTGCTAGGCAAACCTGACTCTCTGACCTGCCTTCCTTGGCCTTCCCCTCCAGAGGCCTCTCTCCTACTTCCTGTCTCCCTCTGGCTGAATGCTTTGTCCTGGGTGCCCCCCTGCAGCTTGGGTCTGCACTGGAGCAAGATGAGGTCGTTTGGTCCATAAACATCTATACTGTCAGAGGCCCTCTATAGGGTCACTATGAATGAGAAGCTACTCAATGCGGTGGGTGGGTACCTCTGCCCCAGC